CATTTTAAAAAAACCACTTCCGGTTGAAGTAACCCACTTTCGGTCAAAATCAAAAGTTGAAAGGTACGCCATTTTGGTTCCTCCTCGAAACCCTACAACTTTTATATGAAACTTTTTTCGATTTCTGGCCACACAAACGAGTTATTGGAGGTGATAGATTCAGATGACTCACCCTGTATATAAACAACAGTATATTAAACTGGTATAATACTTATCAAGAAGACTTATTGTATCGATTAAATGCGTCGTCGTTGATATGAATTGTCAATATTAAGATTATTTAATAGAAAGTTACTATTTAGTACACGTATCAAGTGCACGATGTAAACCAGACCATTATGTAACTGCAATATCGAACGACTAGAGGGGGCTGTGCCTCCCGCACCCCCCTTAAAACTAACCTATCGTTACATTAACTGTCAGTCATTGTTTATTAAAAATTATTAAGAAAAAAAGTTGAACACTTTAATAAACAATGACTGACAGTTAATGTAACGATAGGTTAGTTTTAAGGGGGGTGCGGGAGGCACAGCCCCCTCTAGTCGTTCGATATTGCAGTTACATAATGTGATTAAAAGATCAGTAACTTGTTTAAATAGTGGGAAAGCAGCAAGTGTTTGACAAGTGAAAGAAAAAAAAAAATTAAAACAATATATAACTTGCATATTTTTCGGACTCTCCCAATTGATTATTAATGTTGGAGTCAAAATAAATATTTTTACCAAAAAAGCTGCAAAAAATATCAAAATTCGGCCTTATTGTACATAATTATCCGAAAAAGAACCAGGAGTATTGAAATACTAGATAGTACACCGATTGTGCCTGACGGTACTTCCACAGCAGCACTTGCGATCGATATTTCGGTCAAATACATGATTTTTTAATATTTAATTAAAATTATCTGGATGACTCACAAACCCTTTTAATGATACTTCATAACTCTTCATATGAAATACAAACGATACCATACCGAACCTTTGTTTAATTTACTTCCGGTCATTATTTCCAGCTAAATACATGGTCCAAAAAAGAACAATTAATTATAAGTAATAGAATGACTCACAAATCTTTTTAATTGTACTTCAAAACGTTTCATACAAAATACAAACGATTTAAAAGAATAGTTTTCCAACCGGAGTTTTTTTCCGGTCAAGTACATACGAATGTTTCCGACAGTGTCATAGATATAAAGGCCAAATCACACCAGTAGGTGACGATTGACGATTGACAATTAAAGATTAGATTTTAACGAATCAACAAGCTTCAGCCTTGGCTTGCTTTGTTCCAATTGGTCAAGTTCCAATCTTCAATCGTCAATCATCAATCGCCAATCGCTAGTGTGATTTGGCCTTTAGTCGGTGTAGGAAGTCAACGCATAAGAATTGACGTAGGCATATGCTGCATCAATTGTGTCGTCTAATCATATTTGATACAGCATACATCTACGCCAATCCTTGTGCGTTGACTTCCGACTCCGATTTACGTCTACGACACTGTCGGAAACGATTGCGACAATCTTTGGGTGTTTACGATAAGTTGTCGGATTGGAAATCCGACTGAACAGTGGTATTCAATCGACCCACTTCAAAAAATTCCCTAGCTTAATCAGATTTTAGTAAAAGCTGTCTCAGCAGTAATTGGATTAGCTTCATAGCGACGTGAGGTGATACTTTGTCCTTAAGAGAAATAAAAAAATAAAAGTCGGTAGGTACGTAATTATTATTCTAATGATTAACGCGTATCATTTTCCTTATATACGTCGCTATGAAGCTAATCCGATTACTGCTGAGACAGCTTTTACTAAAATCTGATTAAGCTAGGGAATTTTTTGAAATGGGTCGTTTGAGTACCACTGCTTAGTCGGATTTCCAATCCGACAACTTATCGTAAACATCCATTGTGCTCAGATCCTAATGGCTCCTGCACACAGGACGCGGTGATGCTTGCCGCGCGATGGAAGTTCGCACGATAGCCAATCAATATGCTGCTTTCTGTAATAACCTTCTAGCTCTTACGGATAAAAAACAACATTGATTGTCTGTCGCGCGGACTTCCGCAGTGCGGCAAGCATTACCGCGTCCTGGGGTGCGTTCGAAAACACTGAAAGTCCACGACGGAAAGTGGCTGTGGTGGATGGGCTTGGTGGGGTTAGTGGAGTTGGTATCGAGAGGAGTTTTCGAACAGCCATGGAAGAATGCTCAATGTGACATACTACATGTTGGTTGTGCCTACATATGTGTTGTACAAAATGGCTGATCGAAAGCGTATTTC